ACAGACTACACTCATGGAGTAACCTTCATTTTTAGATGCCTAGATTTGTATACAAATAAGCCTATATTTTCTACATTTTTCCTTACTAGATATTAACTCAGGTGGAGCATAAGCACAGTTGGCACGCTATGAAAGATTTAGCTTATAAAACTCACCAAATCCATAAAACACCCTGTTTTGACATATATAATGTCATATTATGTTCCAAAGATGGCCTCAAGATCTACCTTGGCATTCCTACCATTTAAGTGCACGTGTATCTATGCATCACTTAATAAAAAGGAATTTATTAGCTATCATAGCCATTAGGCATTGAAAAAAATGGAAAATAATAATTTCATATAAAAACCTCTCCATTAGCATAATTGCAGAAGATATTCCAAGTTTCCACTGAGGTTTAAGGAAAGTCATAGAAGTCAAATGGCCTTCAAAAAGTGTTCTGCTTTTTTGAAAACAGAAGAATTCTGGTTCACCTCCTATTTAGGAGGCAACAATTCTGCTGCTGCTACTTTTTTGGAAGAAAACCAAAAAACAAACCAGAAAGAGTAGTATGTCTTGAAGCAGAGATCAGATCAATTATAGAAAGTCCATCTTAACCCTAGCTAGTTGAATGAACATTTTGCACTTAATGACTCTACCCCAATTAGTACTTACACACAGTTTCTAGCAGCCAGGTCTTTGTGAATGACTTCCCGTCTGGCCAAATAACTCATTCCACAGGCAATCTGAATAGCCATATGTACAAGATCCTGCTGGGAAATCGCCTGCAAGAGCACAGAAGAACAGTCAGACTACTACACAGGGAAGTAGAGCTGTAGCTTGTTATTAAAAAGCAACCATAATAATAGTATTTTACAACTGACATAGTTGCTACCAATTTTCTAAAGAAAATTACACAAGATACTATTTGACATAATACAGATTATAAACACCTTCCTTGTCTAAATTCCTGAAGAAGGGAGTGCATGGCATAGGGATTTATAACTCAGATTAAGGAGGAGAAAAGGTAATCAAAGTTGAAAGAACCTAGCAGTTTATCATGATTTATTGACCCTGTAAATTAACAGGGAGGGAGACAGATACTGAGAGCTTGAAACCTGGTACCCGACAGGGATAAAGGCTGACCTCAGCCAGGCAGATTTCACTGAACTTAGTGTTCGTTATAGTTCATTATGAACAGGTACATGCATGTATGAATAGTGTTATCCAGCTTTCCTTTTCTCCTGTTTTTAACATCAACTATGCAGTTAGGGCAGTCAAGGCATTTTTAGAAGAACATTGTCACTTCAATGTCTTTTCTTTCCTAATTGCCATAGCAGAGGCAACAACTTTCATTAGAAACACAGTGAATAGTAACAAATTCCGTAAAGCACACGGCAAGAAAATCTGCAGAAAACACTCCACTTGGTCTCTGAAACTGAATGAATTCAACTATTCTGCACAAGAAAGATGTAAACTATATGTTACAATGAAAAATATGTATTGTAAAAATCCATGGTCATATATTATTTCCTTTCTTAATATAGTGATGCAATAGCTATTAGCCTGATCAGAGATTATGGCATCTCAAGAGCTGTCATACACACAGACAAGAACACGCAGAAATGAAGATAAATACTTGCTAGGAAACCTGCTTGCCAAACATTTCATTGCTAAGATAGGAAAGGTGAACACAGAAGCTACTTATTTGAAAGTCCATATATAAACGGGAAACTGAGTCTTCAGAATTAAACCAGAGCACTTGGGAAGTTAGTTTCTTGAGTTTACCTGAGGATTGTTGGCCTCCACCAACTTGCACTGTCGCAAGAAAAGTTTAAGGTTCCCCCAGTTCATGTATGGCAGCAGCACCATTGGTTTCTCTCCCTCTTCTATACAGACATGAGTGATAGGTAGCAGATTCCTGGAAGACAGGGATGAAGATTCCCAAGTTTAGAAAGCAGAAGTTTAACAAAAGTCTTCCTGACACCTAAACACATCAACTAAAAATGATTCGATACTGACGAAAAAAAAAAGCATCCAGCTTGCATTAGGAAATGCAGAGCACAAGGTCTCCAAGTAAGTCGAGTGTTTGAAGTGTACACATATATACACAAAATCAATAAACAAAACAAAAAAGGAGACATTTGGATCTTTTCCCCACTAGGAAGAAATTGCCAGATTTTTCATTTGGTCTGAAAGAGATGGAATAAAATTCTGTGAATATCACTCTTTAAATGCAACTGTAAATATGAAATACCTTGTTCTGTTACAGAATGGTCTTGAAGAAAGGCAATAAAACAACAAAAAGGATTTATTTTGCTCCACCAAAAATTCCAGTACAAAACAAACAAAACACATTCAGTTTTCAGTCAGCCTAACATTAAATTGCACCTAACATTAAACTGAATTGCACCTAACATTAAATTGAAATGCAGAAGCATTTCATAGGAGTTAGCACAGACACTCTCTTCATGGGCTGCATACATCCCATTCTGCACTGTTTATCATCACCTTCCAGGAGTATCAAAACACAAATTTGCATGAACTTGCATCAAGCTATTCAAGGAGTTTGGACAATTTTAAAAGGGAACACTGAAGCTCCATGTTCTCATAAAAGAACAATCCTGTCTTTTAGACAAGGTCTTAAATGCAATAATTCTTAGGAAAACAACTTTTACATCCTCTGAAGCACTTGTTATTTCTGTTTGAGCTATTTTCCTCTCCACATTCCCAGGAAAAACTTTACCGGTTCAGGGACATGAAGGGGTTTCTTTTTACCTGCATCCTTGCCAGTAATTAAAATTTTTAAGGCCATGTTTAGATTTAATTCAAGCCATTCAAACTGCCATTAACTCAAGCAGCGTGGGGCATTGATTTAATAAGCCACCACTGCACAAGTCACACAAGTAATTCTTCAGGAATAAATCCCATCATACTTGTCATGTAATCACACAAGGAGAGTGCATGTGTGCAGAGACCTAGAAAGGATTTCCTTCTCTCTGGGAAGGACAGTATCTAATCCCAGTACTCACTTATGTTATGTGCAATGCAAGACCAACTGGCATGTTGGCTAAATGAACAGTCAGCCTGCATATGTACTTACTCTGCTGAACAGAATGAGAAAAGCTCAACAGTTTTCTAAATTTGGAAAAAAAAATCATTTCCTCCCATTGAGAAGCTTTCAATCCAAGAATTTCCATCTTACAAGGATACTGTTTTGCTACAAGCACTGCTTACCTGTGATGAAGTCCTCTGAGTTTACAGCTTTCAGTCAGCATCATTGTCACCTGCACCTCTGAGGCCTGATCTAAGAAAAAAATAAGATAAAAATAAAGGAACTGTAGATACAATTCCAGAAATAAACCAATGTAATAGCTTAAATTTGGTCCAGATTTGCAAGTCAGCTCAGGTGATTTGAGCACAGACTTTTCCTACTTTTCTAAAATGAATTCTGAAAACTCAAGCGAGTAAGCCAAGGTCTGAGGCATCTTTCTGTTTAAACACACAGGGTGAAGGTGAAGAGAAAAAACAAAACAAGGCAAAAGCCTCCGCTCTGGGTGACAGCAGCCACAAGCTGCCTGCCCTACAGAGCGCAGGCCCCATCCTACACAGCAGCTTGGGGCTCCTGGACGAGGGCTACATGCCACACGCTTCCCAAACCAGAGAAGTGCAGGGACCAGCGTAGCTGCTGCCCCACACCTACAGGCTGCTGCAGTCTACTTCCTCATTAAGGGAGACCACTGTTTTCTAGATTTGGTCATTTATTAGTGTCTGCTTGAGAAATTTGACTTTTGGTAACCTTAAATACACTTGTGGTTTTCCCCCCGACCCTTCAAGAAAAGGTCCAGCGATAATGAAGCGTTATGAAAGTTGCTTGATCACATTATATGCATTATTTTCAGCCCCACTGCTGCTCTACCTTTGTCAAGATATATCTAGAAGAGCTTAAACCGATATAAGATGGTGCAGCCACAGTCCCACCCTCTTCATAGCTGGACCTCCTTCAGTCCCTCCTTTGTGCTAGGGCCAGCACTCACATCTAGGCAACAAGTTGGTACAGGAAAGAGAATCCCCCAAAATCATGGCTTTTCCTCGCTGCATTAGCATGAATTTGCATCCAACATTTTACTGCTCAGGAAGGGAGAGTGAGGGAGAAGTGAAAGGGAGAGGAAACGGATAGGCACAAGGGAGGGAAAGAAAGCATGAGAGAGACCATGACCTCCCCCTCATGGCAATACCGAGCTATGAGACAGCTTCTAACTGCAAGACCCAAATTCCCCTTCCTTTAGCTTTCCAGGTTAGCTAGGTTCAATCCATCGAAGCGAAAGTAGCTTCAGGCACGACACAACTCTCTAAAAAGGGTCTGTTAAGAAGGAAAACAGGTAACTTGAGGAGCAATGAGCCAGGAAACACCAGCTGGAGCATCACTGCCTAGACCCAGCGTAGGCCGGAAAGACTCAGACCAACAGAGACGCTCTGGAGAAGAGTCCAGCTCTGAAGGTACCAGCAGATTAACACCCAAGCACTTTGAAGTGGAAAACCCCATGCAAAGGAGCTGGGTTTCCAAGGCGCGCGACCAAATTAAACCCAACCAGCTACATTAAGATGCAGTTCATAGAATCATAGGTTTAGTAATCATCATTACCAGGTTTATGTTTAAAGCTGATGCGCTTGGCTGTATCAACTGGCTTACATTTATACTCTCTGGCACTCTGCTTACTCAACTGGCTTGAGTTTAATTAGAGTATTGCAAGGTGGGTCTTATGAGAGCTCCGAATCAGAGCCTAGAACTGTCTTATAATCTACAGGACAAGTTACCCTGGTTCAGACAACAAAACCATCCACCTTCTTGGGATAATGTTGGTGGAGAGCAGGTTTCCTGTCAGTGTCTTTCCCTCTCCACCACAGTTTGTTTTGCAGGAGGCCGCTGTTCCACTTCATTGTTTTCTTCCAGCTCAGACATTATGTTTTAGCAGCTGAGCACCCAAAGGATGATTGACTCCTGCTCAAGTATATACGGAAATCTAAATCTTATCTTGTAAAACAGTTCCAGCATCCGCATTGTGTTTTCCTATCAGTATTATTTCCTCGTTTTCTGCGTGGAAAAAGGAAAACTTAAGACACACCAACAAATTCAAGACTTTCAGAGCAAAACAATAGCAGCACAAGGCTCGTCCTCCTGTTACTTATGAGGAACTACACAACCCAACTACTGTGGTTTTGTAGTAGATAATTTATGTTCCATTTTTGAGTTTTATCACTTGAAAAGCCTGAGTGATTCTAACTACAAAATGGAACATAAATTATCACTTGAAAAGCCTGAGTGATTCTACTCAATAGGAGGAAAAAAAAACTTCCTCCACAAAACACCTTACGAGAATAGCAATAAAATGAACCCTTAATTGCAAGATTAAGGTTTGGCAACATTTTAAGAGTACATTAAACTCTTAAAAAAAAAAAAAATCAAATTCAAGACATAAAGACTTCTGAACAACCAACAGGTAGAACTGCAAAGACTAGGACAAAAGGTCCTTTTGGTTGTGAGAGGTTTCACTGTATAAGGTGTTAACACGTGCTCAACCTGATGATCCTGCATAGGAAATGCAGCTTTCTGTGAAGTCCAACAGCCAGAAGCGCTGTGGAAAACACAATTCTATCAAATCTAGTCTGGCAAGACACTTGCCAAGATATATGAAAGTGAAACCTACAGATGCTGGCTTCCTGCAGGGCCAAAATGCAGTTCTTCAGCCATTTATCAAATCTCGAAGTATTACATGTAACCACACACTCAGTCTCCCATATGCTGGATTTATGAAGAGAAATCTATAGTTAAGACAAAAGATTTAAGGGCCAATGGTAATTCTCTAAGTCCAATTAGGACCAAAAGTGCCTCAAATCCAGAAATTGCTGGGAAAAAAATAAATATATAAAAATAACCATCAGGCCTAACAGGAGTCTCTCTTCCTCTACACCTTGAATTACCTCCTGGAGGTGAAGAGCAGCAATTTCTTGAATATTGCAGTGGGTTACCCCATTACCTGGATGGCTTTTAATAACAACACTTTGGGTCAAATTGCAAAATGCAGAGTAAGAATCAAAACTTCAGATCGTAGCATGGTCATCAAAATAAATTGCTTGAGACAGAGAAAGCAGATTAGATAAGAGACTCCCATGGGCTTCAAGAGTCAAACAGGCTATTCCAGAGCCTACTATGCACCGTAGCACACAGCAATAAGCACCTCTGCAAACACTAACTCAGGAATGTCAAAGGTTTTCTATGAAAAAGTCCCATAATGGCAACATTTAAGAAGATGTTTTACCTGAACCTGTTTTCAGCTTTGGAGCACAAGTAACATCATATTCCTGTGTGAACTTCCTCTTGTCTCAATGCAAGCTTGCCCAGCAGTTTTTCCCCAGCATCAGAACCTTTACAGGATCCCTTTTCTACGCGGCTGCCTGTTCCCACAAGGCTTGCAGTGCTTTTACCTTTGAAGTTTGAGGGTTTTCTACGTGGTGCAAAGTCACAGGCCAGGGAGAAAAGCCCAGGCAGTGATCCTGACTGTGTTTCCATAGGAAACAAGACTAAGCAGTTCAATCCCTGACTGTAGCACAAGAGCTATGCTAGATATCCAGCTTCAGATTACAGACACTCCCAGCATCAACAGGTTCTTTGTAATTGCTGCCCCTGCTTGAATCACAGTCTCGAGCATTTCATTTCTAATGCCATTAGCAGGCTTTTTTTTTTTTTTTTTTTTTTAAGAACTTTTCTTCGATAGGAGAATGAAGAGCTTAAATGAATACACTCAGTCATGAGCTGATTTGCTTCTTCCAGCAGCAAAAGGAAGTACATACGCAAAAGCATTTACACCTTAAAGCTTCAAGAGATCATAGGACAAGTGACGAGTTACTGCAGAAGCCACCAGCATGAGATGAACCTACCCAAGTGAGGAGAAGACCTTGCAGCTCTTTGGGAGCTCTACTGCACGTGCACATCTCGACAGCTACAGCAACATTCATGTACTGGCTGTGCCCTCAAGTATCAGCATCTACCCAAAGTAGCTGTGCGTCCTGCAGGATCCATACATGCCCACGTGTCCAGACATGCACATGCACACAACAAGGAAACCAGGTCACAAGATAGACACAGTGATTTATTCTCACTAAAATTTCAGAGCAAGAGTGCTGCTCCAATGTTATAATCGAGACTATTTTTATTGAAATCTTTTTTTCCATACTGCAACCACACAGTTGAAGTTACCTCCTAAAGCAAAGCAATTGGGAGTTTCAGAAAGGTAAAACCTATTTTTCCCCCCTGCAGCAACTGCTGTAGATCTCTCTGGATTGAATCTGATACTTTCAGCAAAAGTGATTCAACATGATAATGCTAAAATAGCGATTCTGTTTTTATTACGCTGTAAACACACACAAAACTCAGCCTTAGAAAAGGGCTGAGCAAGTTTTGGGGATAGTGCTATATCTCTGCATAGTAACAATACCAGAATCCAAGCAGTAGAGCAAAAAAAATTGCCACAGTGCAAAGGTTCTTCGTTCAGCAATTCATTCGACTTAATAAAAAGCTGAAATTAAAAAAATGCAAAGTGGCACAACTGATTTCAAGTCACAGTGTCTATCTACTGCTTGAGAAGGGTGACTGCCAACAAAACAGAAATACACGTAGTGGCCATAACTGCATGAAAATGGAAGTGTACTCGAGATGGAACAGCAGACGTGTGTTCTGCAGAAGCACATGGAATAGCAAGTCTTTACACTAAGGAGTGCAAGTACCATCTGACAGACGTCAGACATCAGAGCTGTACAGAATACATCTATATAGAAACTTAGACTAGAGGAAAGACTTCTTATTTGAAGCTTTTGTCATGTATTTTCTTCAGAAGGAGAAGCACCTAACTCAAATCTGCCCCTTGCTTTCCCCTGCTTGGCATGATCTGGATCTTCTCTCCCGCGCCTCCTAGGTCCAGTGTTGATGCACAGAACTTGTCCACCAAGCCTCCTCAGTACCCGAGACAACAAAACCCTTATGATTCATCTTGAGGGCGTCGACACTAACAGCAGAACTTCGATACAAGATTTATTTTACTGCCTTAACAGATCACTTCAATAAAGCAGGGAACAGAAGATGGAAGTATATGTGCCCTAAACAAATAATCAGACACCCTCTCTTGATGACTACACAGAAAAGACCTCCCAGGACACTTTCTGATGCGGAATACCCACTGCAATGGTTCAAAAATGATTTAGGGATCGGATGGAAACATTTTCCCCTTTCCAGGAATGGGGCAATGATGAATCTCAGACTTCACATGTGCAGGGTTTCCTCACATCTACGAAACATTGCAGCTGTTTCAACTCATAGAAAAAGCCTTTTTTAGAAGTCTTTTTTTCAGAGTTAGTAAAACGAGGAACTCATAGGAGTTAAGCCTTCATCATCCACACTACTGACGTTACTTCCAGTGTTTTTCCATGGGTAGGCTGTTTTCAAAGACTCTTGTACATAAGGAAAGTTATTTTAAGTGGCTAGAAAACGAAATGGAAGCAGCTAGATTATCTTGAACGGCACTATTGGCTGTTTTTGGCTAGTATGCGCTCCATGAGTCAGGGTTCTCCAAAATTAAAATTCACTGCGTGTGTTCCTGTATGTTCCTGGAATATTACAATCCCATTTGTTCTGCAATGAATTTTCTCCTTTGCAGGAAAAATGCCACTAAACAATATGTTCCTGCACATCAAAATAGAAAATTGCGTGTGCTCTTCCTTTTTGCAGGTAATGTGTAAAGATTCAAAAATAAAAATTGCTTCATGTAGCTCTCTAGATCAGTCAGTCACTGGCAAGAGATGCAATTCTGTCTCTGAAAGCCATGGCAACTGAAACACTTCGCAAAGGTTGGAAGTTTCCTATCAGGAAGGGAAAATCAAGCACTACAACTGCCCCAAACAATCCTGCCGGGGAGTGAGAAGCACAATGAACAAGCCATGTGCCAAACTAAGTCTCTCATCTTTCTCACAAACAGCCTATTCAGGTTCAGGAGCTACAGATTCCAGTATTAAAAGAAAGGGAGTTCCTAGATATGGTCTGAATGCGTGTTCTTGTTCTTACCAGTACAGATACATAGAGCTTTGATCTTCATGATTGTCTTTTTAAAGAAAGAATGAAGAGGAATTATCCATCAAGAAATTTGCACCTGAAACAGCTGAAACTTTCATGATGATCAAGATGAAGAATCTAGAAAAGGTCGAAACAAGTGAGATTATTTGCCCAGGGCATAAAATCTTTGTACTCAGAAGACTACTAGTTTCCAGATATGCCACCTTGATATCCTTTTTGTTTAAAGCTTTCCTGGTCTACAGACCAGTCACAAAACATCCACATATTAAAGATTAAGGCATTCAGATGCATTTTCTTAGATCTCAGATGATACAGCACAAAAGATGACACTTGTAATTTTGAATTAACGTCTTTAATGAACAAGCACATGGGGAGTTTCATCACCATCCATGGCCTATTGCAAATTACTTCTGGAGGGCACTATAGCTAAACAAAATAATGGAGTGGAAAATAATTCAATGACTTAAATAGTCCTAGTGAAAGACTCTAGACACTGAAGATACCAGTTCTCAAAGATAAATTCTGCAATGTACAAGAAACTAATAATGATGAACAAGGCAAGCTCATATCTGTTAGTTTCTTACTCTGATTTTGCTTCATGAAGATCGAACTGGGGTTTTGGAAGTCTGACCTACTGGATCGAACCCAGCTTGAGAAAGCAGGGAATGCAACGCATTCCTGGAAACTACTTTGCACACTCTCCAACTGGCCTCTCATCGAGCACTCTCCTGGTTCATCTTAAAGCTTAACACCTCACCAGAATACTGGAAAACAGCTGGGAACAAGGAAGTGGGAAAGGCAGCCACAGGTTTTGCTATAATCAGCCTAGTATCTCTACTTGTTGATCCTGCTGGTAAGAAAGTCCTAACCCCAGGGAGGGACGGGAAGGACAGGAAAAGCAGGCAGACTGACAGAGCTGCAAACACACTTCCTCTCCAAGGGGGAAACAGCCACGGATATAACCACCATCAGATCAGCACATCAGCCACAGCAGCCATTTTCTCTTGGATGTGCCATGAATAAACTGACAGCACAGTGTCCTCTGTCTAAATTATCTGGAAGTAACCCACCTTGAAAGGTGACGTTAACAACTGCGAAAGGAACACCAGAAAGAAAGGATTTGTTATGCACACATAAAGGAGAGCCCAGATAGAGCAATGGGATTGGGAAATCCTACGAGCATGCCGTGACGTTCACGGCATTTCTCACCTTCAAAGCTTTTCCTTCCTCAACAGTATCTCCTGAGATACTGTCTCAGTATCAGAGATTTCCCAAAATCCAATATAAAAGAACTGCCTCAGAGAAAACCTGTAGTCTTATATATATTGCTTGTTGTACATCACTGTCTTTGACTCGTCCAGCAGAAAATCATTTAATTCACTAGCTTTACCAAATCGCATCAAGCCAAATTAGTGACAATTTTGCATTAAAAACTAGCATCTAGCAACCAAAACCACCTGTATGCTCATATAATGCTGCTCGTATCAGAGGTGAAAGGTTATGGCCAGTGACATGGTAGACAACTACACCAAGCATGGTCACACCTAGCCAAATTTTCCATAGATTAAAGGCTTTTATCAATTAAGACAAGAAATTAAAGGAATTGTAAAATAATATATCAATTACAAAAATAACCAATGAAGAAATCACCGCACAAGGAACGTAATAGGACCGCTGTAACACAAGCATAAACAAACTGCTGGAGGACACTTATGTTGAGGGCAGAGGATGAACTCCAGATATTCTGTAGGATACATGCAATAGTTTTCACCTACACTTACCTTATTTGCGATTTCTTAAGGTCTACCCATTATGATTTAAATGACTTGGAGAACATATTTTTTTTCAGAAACAAACAGGTATGTTTGTGAAGACTTAGAAGACTTGATAGGCAAGGGAATACAAGACTCGGGAGTTGAAAGCAGTGGTTGAGAATACACAGGATTTTCTTCCACACAAGTTCTCTATTGCGTCTAACTGATGGCAGCACCTAAATTGCTTTTGCTTTCTAAATAGGGAAAAAGTAGAAAAAAAAGCACAAGTAGAAAGCAATTTGGTTTTTCTGTTTGTTTGCTGGAGGACAGGGGAAGATTAAAGGCGTATTCCTCAGAGTGCACCACAGTACAAACCACTGAGTGCAAAATAAAAGACTCCTTTGTGCAATCATACCTTTAACAGTTTTGACAAAAACTTGTTTCTCTTTACTAGGGTCTTTCTCCTCTATTAGAATTCCATGAAAAATGCGCCCAAATGTGCCTATGAAGAGAACACACAATTACTTAGTATTAGGTAGTTATAAGACATTGACAAAGTTAACAGAATTTATAAGAAAGTATTACCTTAAATTGCATTAAAATGCATTTTTATTAGCCAAGGCAGAAAGTTAGGAATAAAGATAAAATGTGAAGTCCTGAATGGCCTATTAAACCAGCAAAACTCTCGCAATAAAAAACCCAACCACTTCTGAATTCACCTTCTGCCGGAGAACGTCATGCTGTAAATGCACAAATGCTTCAGTAATAGAGAAAATAAAAAGACATAGGAATTATTCAAATTCCTCAGTTATTCAATTATTGCATTATTTAAACGTTTTACCTTAGCTGGAAGTTTGTTCAATCTGCCTTCAAACTTTTCCACACCTAAGTGTTAATTTATTGCTAGAATAAAGCGGCACCACTGAACAGCTGGAATGAAAAGAATTTCAGCACTGAAACATTCAGAATTGATCTTTTACAGCTCTGAGGACAGCAATGCCTTTGTGTCACGCTTTTATTAAAATAGAAAAGCTATTTTCCAGCTAGATCATGCTTCTTTAACGATCTCTTTATTTCCCTCCAAAAAAGCCCTTGCTGAAAACGCTCAAGGGACATAACAGTACCCAAATATCATGGGACCAGCGTGCGTCATCCTCACACAGTCTGTTCTTATGTTATAACCCTTTCTCCTCCCTACCAATTTGCCTCATTTAATCAGGCCAAACGATCTTTGATGAGGATTGTCTTACTCTGGCTGTACATTTTCAGCACAAAGTGTGGTTTTCCTTAATTCCTAAACACCTAACAGGAGACAAAGGAACGTTTCTATCACCTACCATGGAATTGCAAGAGAAACTGGAGATAGAGATCTTTGAATTCTGATCTGATTAAGAGGTAGTTTATTTAAGGAAACTGTAGGCAATCATGTTTTGCAGTATTTACTCTTTTTCTGCTAAAAAAGACCTTTCTACCTTGGCTCTTGAGAACACAACAAAAAAGTGCTTTAAATACCCATTTCTAACATGCAGCAATTTGGAAAAAGGCCAACGAAGTGAAGACAGCTTGATACTAGGACATGTCATTTTACAAAATGTTATCTACTTATTTTTAAACACTGGAATCGAAGAGAATAGAGGAAGCATGCCAAAGCAATTATGACTAGAAAATAATTTTCACGCAATGCAGTATCTAAATATAGTATGACTGTAAAACAGCACGCCTGTATGGCCCATGGTTTTTATTTTTTTTAAATGGTGCAGTGAAAGGCAGCTCTGCTAAGGCACGAACCTATTGTTAGTATGCCAGAATATCTGCAGACGGCATCATGCCTCATCCTCCTGTTGGCTTCTTAATGATTATGTTGCTTTAATTCCATATTGAGCACCTAAGCCATTTTTCTGCTTCACCAGAAAATGGCAAAAGGCTGACCTACTGTCCTCACATCCTCCACGTACTGAAGACTTTCATTAGAAACCACTTTTACTCATCTCTGGACACCTACATTTTGCCTTACATCCATCAGAATGCAACTCCAATGCAGGTTCAAAAAAATCATGTACTACTGAAGTCCCTCAGGACACACAGCCGTATTTGAAGAGCAGGTGGCTAAGACTTCATGCCACCAACAGGAGAAAAATTCAGGCACATGAGCATAAAAGACCTAGATTTCTCTCTTCCCTCACACTCTCTCAGTGCCTGATCTGTGTGTTTTCCAACCACAGTCCACAGTTAAGACCAGAGCCTCTTAAATAATTACTAAGGGGTTCAAATACATTCAATTATTGATGATATTTGAAGTTTTCAGCAGTCAGCATCAGCAAGAACCACATAATACCATACACAACACTTCCAAAACAAACTTTAACAAAGAATCAAGTAATCCCTGTTTTTTTTTTTTCCTCCCACATGAGGGTTGTTGAATTTGCATCTTTCAATTAAATTTCCAACCCGGAAGTTGCTAAATGGACACTGAACTAGTTTAGGTCCCTATTTTTTTTTAGTTTAAGTGAAGCCTTTCCATTGAAAATTAAGAAAATTAATTAGTTGCTACTTAGTCCTATAACCAATCAGCTCATTCTTTAGCCTCTAACACTTGCGTTCAGTAAGGACTGGATTATCAAGACAAACAAGCTGAATTATTTACTTTTCACAATCAGTCACTTCCCTCTAATGAACTCTGAAAACTGCTTCCCCCAAATGTAAGCACCTTTCATCTTTCACTCCTTGAACATAGATAACAATTAGAATCATCTTCTATGATGAATTTCCACAATTCACAAAATTCAGCTGTAAAAGATAGTGTATTTACAATGTCACACAGCTGTGTTGTACTCAACAAGTGCCCGAGTCCTGTAAATACCTTCTTGGAGCACATCCTTCAGCGTTATCCTCTCCCTGGAGATGGCTATGTCCTTCACTTTGGCTTTTGCCTCCAGCAGAGTGACACTTTTGAGGTCATTCTTCTCGATTCGTAACGTAGGGTAACCTGAGGAGCCAGCAGAGCCAAACAAACCAATATAAATACCAATAAAAATACGAAGGGACTGCAAGCACATTGCCTCCCCCCCAGCACCACCTACAGGTGTGAAGACACATAAGCAGCATGCACTGGAAGAGGAGCAGGTATAATATCAAACAAGCAAAATAGAGAGAAATCACATGAATAATCTGGAAAAAATGCACCCAGGGAATTTTATATAGCATCATGCAATCAAGTCTGGTTATTAACACAAGGTAAATGAATCTCTGCATTGCATGTTGCAGCTGGCCAACACAACCCAGCAGTTTTATCAATATCAAGGAAATAAAGCTCATGGTCAGTGACCGTCTCAAGACTTTGCAGCATGAAGAAAATGCTTTCACCATGCCCCGTGGGAGGAAGAGAGGAGCCAAGACTATCCGTGCCCTCCTCTGGGCAGGCAGAAACCAAATGCTTTACACAAATAGACCAGTTTTGGCCCTGTTTAGCTCCCTGAATTAGCTTGCAACTCAGCTGTGTTAGTGATAGCACCAGAGAAAAGATAAAACTTCATGGTCAGTCCAACATCAGAAGAAATTAAGCAGAGAGACTGCACACCAAGTGTCAAATCAAATCCTCCTGCTTGATTTCAAATCCTTAACATAAGATATTCTCACTCCTAGACCCTTCAGCTTCCCTAGCTCAAATCACTTCCTTCACCAGATTTCTATACTGCATGGAATATCCTTTGCTTTAGAGGAATCAGAGAAGTTGAAGATTTTAAAATACCTTTGGTAATTATCAGAATTAACTCTCCACTTAATAGCACAGCTGGTATCAGTTACTAAATCTGTCCACTACCATATAAACCACTGCCCCTTTACCCTTTCTTTTGCTACATGGATCTTCTATATGCTATGTATATAGCATGGATTTTGCTATAGGGATCCTTTCACTTGCTGTTACGTCTTCCAACTCTACACCTTCCTCTAGCACTGCATAAGCAGCTTCTTCCCAGCATTAACACCACAGGTGCTTCACAAATACTGATGAACTCCTTCCATTAGGCCAATCTAGGTACATACGGAAAAAACATTCTACATTAACTCAGACCAGGCAAGCTGCTTAGAGCCAAGAGGTTATTTAGGCTCTTCTGTTTTCCTCAAGATTAAAATGAGTGCCACTTGATCCAGCAACTCGTTGCAAGGGTCTGTAACCAGATTAACACTTACTGGTTACCGGCGTCGCGTTGTTTGGTGTGTCAGCTCTCAAGTACTGCGTCGTCTGCGTGGAAGGCTGGGATAAGCCTTGGGAGCTGCTGCTGTCACTAATGCTGTTTCAAAACAAAAAACACCACAAAAATGACTGTTTAAATCTCAAAATCTCAAGATTAGCACATCAAAATTAAACACATTATCCACACTATCATTTGAAAGGATGACATCTTTTTAAAGACTCTCTCACATAGCAATCTGTATTTCAGGCAATTCCAAAACATTAGCACTTCTGTACTTTGACTCCCTCGTATATCTGTTTCCCAGACTGCACTCTTTCAGGAAGCTTCCCCAGGTTTGAGGGGGGGAAAAAAGTGCCAAAGCATTTATTCCAAGAACCTGCTTGTTGTATTAGGAACAGAACCGACGAAAGAAGGCTTTCATGCATTTGCTTCTCAGTACCACCATCCCACTGAGAATAAGCACTGATTTTGAAAGAAGCATCTGAGCCAAATAGAAAGAGACTCCTCACACATGCCGAATCCTCCAAGGATACACAATTCTGGAGCCTCCTGAGCTCTTATCACAGAATGGTTGAGGTCGGAAGGGACCTCTAGAGATCATCTAGTCCAACCCCTGCTCCAGCAGGGACACCCAGAGCAGGGGCACAGGGTGGCATCCAGGCAGGTTTGCAAGATCTCCAGAGAAGGAGCCTCCACAGCCTCTGGGCAGCCTGTGCCAGGGCTCTGACACCCTCACAGTAAAGAAGCTCTTCCTCATACGGAGATGAAACTTTTTAAAATAATATTATTCAATTCACTTGTATAGCCTCTCCTTGTACTTACGTAAACCTCTGGCACCTATAATACCCTGCAAAGCTTAACTATACTTTGATTAAAACCATCTTCTCTTGCTTGTTTTGGGCACACCAGCTGCTAGTTGTGTTGGATGCCTTATGGTTCTTGCACTGGAACAAACTCCAAGCAGCTGTTCCCTAGGTCACTATTGCAAACACTTGTTCATCCCATGCTGCTGTACTTTAAGCTCTCTCTTCTATGGACCAAAGTGCTCTTTATCCTACCCCCACGGCACTAGCATTTACATGGACGCCTAACTACCCTAATATCAGGTTCCCAATTAACAACAGTCAGTCAAAAACATCATTTTACACAATAAATTACTTCTACCCTTATGCAGGCAAACTTACTGTTTGTCTACAGTGTATTTCACTTGTCTTGTTTCTTGAAAGCTCACCCTGCAATTCAACCTTCAATTCCATTACCCTAATCTGCCTGCCTTGCTATTCTCCTATATTTTTCAGACCACTTGAATCTACAAGAGGAAAAAAAAAAAAAGAATTAGTTCCACATTTCACCATCTTCTTGGCCTAGGATCCCAAGTTATTCTGGGCAGGAGGTTTAAAGTCACCATTGGCAGTCTAGCTACTTCATCTTGGCTTCCACTGGAGTTTTTGAATGAGTCTTCTCAGCGGCCGGCAGCTTCTTCCTGCTCACTTTGATGGTGTCACTTCACCTTCAAAGCCACATCAGTGCAATTCATTCTCCAAGAAGTTCTCCAAGGAGAAAGAACCAGGGCACAGTCATCTCCTGAGCAGGACAAATGCAGATGCCAAACTCATATGTAGCTCTTCTGCTATGGTTTTTGAGGACCCCTTTGGTAATCTGATCACCTATTAGCCCTACAGATTCCCTGGCTGGCTTCCTGCTGGCAGCAAGTTTGGGTGGGAAGAAAGAAAAATAATTTCATTTTTACATGCCTTTTACAGGTTTGAAAACCATTTTTTTTGATCTGCTTCATTCTGCTTTTGCCTCATTTTGACTAGTTTTACTCTCAACTTCAGCTTCTCACAGGAAGTTTCTTTGTCCTAAGTGGCATCCATCATCTTGCTGTTCAGCACTGCCAGCTTCCTTCAGCACTTCAAGCACCCTTGGTGGGGAGCACACAGGCATTTCCCTGAACTTCAACAAAGGTCTTAAACAGCCTCTATGCAGACTGTAGCCTCAGCTGTTTTTAGCTTCCATGTAGCAAGCTTCCACCTTTTGAAGTAATTCTGCTTTCTGATACCAATAGCACCAGCAGGGAGGCTTTTAGCTCTTGGTGCTCCTAGAGGTCGTTAATCCCAATCATATTATCTCTGATTCAGAGCCCTCAGACAGTGACATTTTAAGCCAGAAGTTTGGTATTCAAAACAAATACAGAAGTAGTTTCTTCTCTCATGGTTCCTTGAAGCAGCCATTGATTACATATTCTAGTCTCAGTGTTACATAGCAGTATAATGCTGAATCTATGAAGCTACCACCTACTTCTCAGCCAAGCATGGAAACTTCAGGCATCCAGGTCTCTGTTGGGTCTTGCGTCCAGTTTAGGGATCATTTGGCAAACTGCAGCTGTGGCGTTTCTGATCTTCAGGCCCATTTTGCCTCTGTTGGTGCCTTCATTACGACGCTGGTGCATTGCAGCTCTTCCCAAGGAGCCCATCCAAGGCTTGGTGAGGCACCTTCAAGCTCAACAAGCAAACCATCATGTGCTCCTTTAAAAATATCAAATCCCCATATTGACATCCACTTCATAGAGGAGAGCCACTTTTTCAGCTTTTTAGACTGTAGCTTAAGGCCAAAGTGAAGTAAAAATCAAAAAATGCACAAAGGTAAAAATTAGCCCCCTGTAAGAGTTGGTAAAAGATTTCAGTGTACTCATATCTACCAAGTCTTCCTTCAGCGCTGACAATCTCCTGCAGATCTCGCTCTATCCAGATTTCCCAGTGGGCGTCCTCCAGGCAATTATTCCTGCAAAATCCCAGTAGCCACAGGCCTCCCACCCAACAGTCGGCGCAACACCTGCAGCTGCTGCCCCTGGAGCAGAGCACTCAGCAACTCTGCACACCCAGCGATCCATACGATTTGATTAACACCATGAGCACGACTGCCAGAGATGAGGGAGACCTTCGGGACTCAATCTGGAGAAGTCCACCAAGAGCAACACATTTGAACAGCCTGAACACATACCTGTCGTCCAGCTCGATCCTCTTCATGCTGTGCAGGTGCAAGACTGCCAGTATTATTGCCACCAGGAATATAACAGCACAGCACACCCCTACGCTGATATAAAACACACGGGTAGAGGTGGTGGGAGCTGCATTTACGGGATCAACTGAAATAAAAAGTGAAAAGTTACTGAGCCTTTCTCAAAAAAAATAAAAGCAACAAACTATGTTCTACTGGTCCACACGGATGGATGTGACAGGAGGGCAGTGCTGCTGTCCCCAGTATCAACACCAGCAACAAGACTGTGGTACCCAGAAAGCAGCAGGGAGTCATCATCACAGGGAAAGCATCGTGGCTCCTGCTGCAGCAAAGCAGGGCAGGGACAGCAAACCACTCAATGTCTCTATTTACTGGGACAGAAGGAAAGTTTCTACTGAATGGAAGAAAAAAGCTGGCCAGGAGCCTCCCAAAATGGCCTTGCAGTGTCAGAGACACCCTATACTCTCCAAATCCACACAACCTCCTTGGTTTTCCTCCACAGCTCCCAAGGTGAATGCTCTTTTCTTGAGCCAAACGCAGCAACTGATGTTACAGCCACTGAGTTGCTAAGAGGAGCTGGAAAAGCAGACGGCAGTGGGATACCAGAAGATATACTGGAAATAAAAATAGGATCAATTCCTAGATGCAGCATCCCAGTGGTGTGAACGTGCCGACTGGATGCTCCATAGTGCGAAACTTCAGCTTCTAATTTTACAGTAGGATGGGTGGGTTAGGGACCCCAGAGCCATATCTAAACACACCAGGGGCACAGGACAGCTAATCTCTCTTTCTCAAAACAAAAGGATCAACTGCACTGAATTTTAGGGTAAAATTCTGCCTTAGCACTTCGACAGCATAAGGGTTGTCTGCTATGCTGACATCCAGCTGCAGAGGCCAGAGGGATTTGAGACAGCAGGAGGCAGGATTTACCTTATCATGCTTTTTTTTTTTTTTTGGCAGGGATGATGGAGCAGCCCTAGCCATTCTCTACTCAAAGTCAGGTACTACAGACATGACAGTTGCTCTGGAACAGAACCAGGTGGTGAAGAGAAAAATGGAGCAATGCTCTCCACAGCATTCTAAAAATATTTTAGCAAAAAGGCTTTATTTATTTTTTTTCCTCTCTTCACCAGTATATGCTTCCCATTGAAATGATTAATAACAAAATGATTAAAGCACAAGGTTTAGTATGGACTACCTGGGGAGGCAGTCCAAACTTTCACAGGGAGTGGTGCAAGTTTCACGTTTAAAGAACTAGAGTAAAAGGCACACTCAGAACTACTTACAGATAGCCTTGCTGCTGTTTCTGTCAGCTGTTGGAGACTTCACCTCTGGTTCAAGCTCTAAACAAATGAGGGGAAAAAAAAATTAAGTTTGGTACACACTTATGATTGCAGTCTTTAGCAAGAAGTTAACTGCTTCTTCTCCCAAAAGGGAACCAAGCCCCCAGTTCTAAAGGACTACAGATATTTCTAAATATCCATTTTAAAAAAACAAACCACTTTGAAAGTAACAATGCTTTAAAGCACCAGAGTCAGATACATCTCAGTACTGATTAGTATGCACCTGCCCAGACTATCACAGCCAGGGTAATCCACTGAGGCTACTCTTGAACTCACAGAACCTACCTAACTCCAAAGCCTTTTGGTGTAATTGATAAAATCCCAAGGGAGCAGTGAGTAGGAAGAGCAGGTGTGGAGATTGG